CCACTTGAGCCACAGGCGCCGAGCCAGCAACCTCAAACTCTTGGGCTTAAGCAATTCTCTTGCCTCAGCCTCCCAAGTAGCTGGGACTACAGGTGCCCACAACACCTGGCTATTTTTGTTGTTGTTGTTGCTGTCATTGTTTAGCAGGCCCAGGCTGAGTTCGAACCTGCCTGCCTCAGTATAGGTGGCCGGTGCCCTAACCACTGAGCTTTGGGTGCTGAACCAATATATATTAAACACTTAAACATAATTTACTATATGGGTCATATGCACAAAACTATGTACCCTTGAGGATACTTGAAAGGACTGTTAAGGGGAAAAAAATATTTTTAACCCCAGGGATTCTAGAGACAGATAAGGGAAACTTTGACTACAAAATGGTTCACATGTTGACTTTTAAAGCCTGGTCCCTGAGCAGGACACAACTCCACAGACAGCACATACCTGTGTCTAGAACAAATGTGTGAAAACCCAGCCCCAGCCCATACCTGAGCTCTGTTCCCCCAACTTCCAGTTTCCTATGACTTGGCTACAACCTTCCTAGGCTCCTGACTTCTGCCTGGCATCCCTGTTTCTGCTCACACCTCTGTCCAACTGTGGCAACACAGCACTCTATTCCCTCGGCAGGGACTGCCTCTTCCCTGGCAGGACAGAGGAAGCTGAGGAGGTTTGGGTTAGACTCTGTCTCCCTGAGTACAGTGCTGTGGTGTGATAGCTCATGGCAACCTCAAACTCCTGGGCTCGAGTAATCTTCTTGCCTCAGCCTCCTCAGTAGCTGGGACCATAGGCACTCACCACAAGAGCAAGCTTATTTTTCTATTTTTAGTAAAGATGGGGTCTCACTCTTGCTCAGGCTGGTCCTGGAACTCCTGAGCTGAAGCAGTCTACTGGCCTTGGTCTCCCAGAGTGCTAGGATTACAGGCGTGAGCCAGCGTGCCTGGCTAGGAGAGTTGTTTTTAAGACAAAGTTTTAGGAATATTAAGTAAAATCTCTCAACTTTAGAACGAAAGTGGCTGCTGCTTCCACGTCAGACACCTGTCATGAGGAGGCATGTTTGCAACTGAGTGGCTGACCGAGACCAGTTGGGGGAAAACAACATCAACTAGTTGCCTGAAATCTGATCAAAGGTGCCCTATTACAATCAGATATTGCTGGTTACGCAGTTTCTGAAATTTCAGCCAAAGAAAATAAACCTTTTGGTGACAGGGAAATGATAAAAGAATGCTTATGCTTACGCAGTTACAGATAGCACATTCTTTAGAGAAAGATAAACTTTTTTTTTTTTTAAAGTACACTATTGGCTCGGCGCCTATAGCTCAACC